ATATATATATATATATATATATATATATATATATATATATATATATATACATATTAATGCTTGTTGGTGACCTGTCCATATCTATGTTTAAGTACTAAATTAAATTAAGTGTAAGGCATTCAACTGTCAGTTCTTTGATACATTGTATCGGATGTTTTAATAGTTTCCCCGACTATATAGCGTTATCGAATTTAGTTCTTAGCTCATCGAAGACATACTTTTGTCACACGTATTTTTGATATACGTACATAGATATTCTCGAAAGGTGATATTATAAACTCTCACACACCTACAAACATGCGTGCGCGCGCGCACGCGTAAATTTATAGCGACGTTAACTATTATTTATAATTTGACAGGAAAAAGTCAACGTGACAAATGCGATATTCTAGATACAGTACTTTGTAATGAGACCACAATCTTCGTTTTTATTGTTACTTTGCTCTCTTCGAATAATAAGGTATTCAGTATTACAACAAATAATATATACACACTATGTAGAGCAAAAAATTAAGATAGAAAATGAAGGAAATTTTCAATCGCAACGTGCTTTTTATTGGAAAATCAGCACGTCCCGCAAATTTCATTTTGAACAATCAGCTTGACCTATGTGACGAATTAGATTCATTTTGCAAAGTCAAATCAAGGCAGAATAAGCTACAGGGGCAGTTCTATGATCGCTGGCTTAGCCCTTTGTCTTCTTGTACATACATAAGTAACAATCTCAGTTTGAGTGAGACAATGTGTACAACATGCAAATCTTTGGTGTGGCTGTTGAATGTGATCAATGTACGAATCAATGTCGAATGATACACGCGCGGGAGGATCCGGAGTCGATTCTTGATGTGTGTTTAATACTTTGTGGGACAGCTGGGGACTGTGATGGGAGAAGTTAGTCCGGGACCACTACCGCTGCACACACGAGTCGCCCTGCCAGGTCTGGTCGGCAGACACTTGTAAAATTCTGTCCTATAGCCGTGCTGCTCACGTTCCGTTTTACCTCGTTCACCCACCCTCGTACGACTCGCACACAGTGGTTTAACTTGACTACAGCCTGGAATGCTTCCTTTACAATATTATTTATCTTAAATTACAAGACGTAAATGCCGACCCAAATGTTCTCTACTTGGACAGAGAGAAAGAACAAAATGTATCAAAGTGTACGGTGCAAAAAATCATCACAGATGAAAGTTGTAACATTACCATATTTAGCCGATTTTGAGTGTAAGCCACTGTAAGCGATTGCGTGCGCAACTTACAAATGTATTGGTCGTAGAAAGTTCACGGTGAGCTCTATAAAAGACATCGTTGGAGTTGTTCATCAGCCGTCGAACTTAAGGAGCTAGTCGTACTTCTCACTATGTAGCAATGGATACTGATTTAGAAAGTGGAGCACATCCGTCACTTCTAATATATACAACTTGTTAGTATCTTAAAAGAGAAAGGGCTAATTTCCATTCTCCTTTCAGGTTTTATACTTTTCATTTGTAGATGTCTTGGAAACAATGTAAACATTGGAAAATGTGAATACGTTAATTAGATTGATTAATTGTTATTTTAGATCATTGTGTAGAAACTTGAATTTTTTATGCTAGTTAAAATTTAGAATCTCTTTTATTTTTTCTATGTAGATTTGTATAAATTTATATAATTTTAATTATAAAGGATGAACAAATACGACCGACACAGCAGATGTAGCTAAGAACAATCTGCTTTGCCGCACGTATTTCCTGAGATCTCCACGATTCAAAATTAACATGAAATAGACATTAGCTCTTTTTTCTCATACTACACAAGTACAGATATGTTACATTTATCGGTTTTGCTAGGTTTGTAGTAAATGCTAGGTTTGTTATAAATTAATTTAACGGCCACCGTATGGTATTAATTATTTTATCGTGAGAAGTTTAATTCTAGTATTTACCCGGTGAAAACTGTAGTGCAAATAATACACGCGGATAAAGTGAGATGCTTATGGCGTAAGATCGACGACCTGTATCTAATCAATATGCATTGTGCGTCTGAATATAATAACTAAGAAAAACGATAGAGTTGTTTCATAAAAAAAACTGACTTATATAGCACGCGTTAGATGTAATAAAAATTGTATATCGATTCTGTGTACTGTGAACTGTGGTGTAAAACGATTATATTATAGACTTGCTTATATGTCATGTTACGCAACTCCATTGTATTTGGAAGTATTCTGCATTGATTCGATAAGGGTTGACGTATTAACAAGAATATCTCGGTCATAGGAATTTAATTTAAATATTTTTAGCGGTCGGCAAATTGATTTTGCTGTTGTACAAAGCCTATTGTACTACTTGCGGAGTGCGGGGCACTCAAATCTTACAGTTTATATTGTAATTACTTTAGTGCAAAGAGACAAGATGTACAAGACGGTAGAGGCTTCGAAGGTTCATCGATTAATTTATACATTCGGAGAGTAGATATTTATTGGCTTCCAGGCATTGTTATAAATTCCGATTAAGATCGAATAAAAGTAAATGTTGTGTATCCCCAAAGCTCTATTATACAAATATTATTAAAAGTATATAGACCGATTATAAGGTAATTCTGAAGTAAGAATATAAAGTTACGAGTGAAGATGCGAGGACTCTTAATTTAGTCGTTGGCTGTGAAGATTTGATAAAATTGTTTGCGGATGTAGGGTAGATACTTTAAGAGAGAATTCTTAAAACAGGGGGGAAATAGTCTGCATAGAACAATATTTATGACACATATAACAATTTGCAAATTGATTCTTTAACGTAAATCTGTGTGTATATCGCGAGAGAATTGTTTTTAAAATAAGTTGTATTGGTTTGCGTCGTTATGATGAGCAAAATCGCGACATTTCATGAATATATATTGGTCCTTCATATAAATAAATATATATATACATATGTTTGTGAATCTGGTGTAACGTATAATAATTGCAATGTATACATACAATGAGTAATGTGATACCATGTACCACACTTTGCAAGGTTTAATAAAGTATTTGTAAAAATAAAATAATATCAATTTAATTAGGTTTTATTAGATAAATCTTGCAGCAAAGATGATTTCTGAGTATCTATAATCTTTCTCATATAATCAGTTACTTGAAACATTGGCCCATGTCCAGGTATAATATAATCTGCAAGATTTATTATATGTTTTCGCATCCTATACTGAGTTTTCAAAAACTCTGATGTTCCCATTGATTTCCAGATGTGTGGTGATAGAATATCTTCTTCTTTCTCAAACAAATCTCCTGCAAAAATATAAAATTTAGGCACATATTTAATTTAATTATATTACATATTTAGTGTAATATAATTATATATCCATCAAATTATGTATTAATCAAAAAATGTTTACTTCTTTATTATATAAACTTCTAATAAAATAAATGTGTCTAATATACTTTCTGATGAAACTGATATATTTATGTTCCAAAGAAAATGTATTAATAATTTCTGAGACTAATGATTATACCTGTAATAGCAAAGCATATTTTCTCCCCATTTTTCATTGTTTCTACTAGTACGGTAACATCTTCCCCAGTATGTCCTGGAGTATATACAATTTTAACACCTGGACAGAGCTCATAATCTTCTATATTCAAAGAAACATAACTCTTTTAGTTACTATAATAAGAGAAAAGTTAGAAGTGTCTAAACATTGTTATAAGTATAATTATTTTCTGCCATCAAAGAGACTCCAAAATTGAATTATTCAGAATGTATTTATATTTTATGTATTATGCTTTCTTGATAATAGTCATAAATTGTTACACATTTGCAATCGCTAGTAACGTTATATCTGAAACTTTTGCACTTATTACTTATATATTTATAAATAATTTACTTATATATTTTATTTATGTATTTAATATCATATTATACATATTAATATTTAATAAGCCAAACAAACCATTTATAATATTCTTGTCAAAGAACATGGTACCACGATGAACACAATATCCTACGATATGTTCTGCATTTGTGAATAGATTATTGTTTCCTATATGATCGGAATGGCCATGAGTGCAAACGACATAATCAATATCTATTGGACTAATATTGTGCTGTGCAAGTGCTAGAGGAAAGCAAAGAAAAATATATATTTAAAAAAAATTTATCAAATATATATTGATATATAATTTGTCTCGTACCATCCAGTATTTTTTCACGATCCCAAGCAGTCATTGTATCAACTATAATCAACTTAGGACCTTTTATCAGTGTGCAAGTACAATTTGAATCCATCGTCGTTTCATTTAATTGCTTGGAATAGCCGTTAAACAAAACTATAACCTCACACATTTTTATAGGAGCGGTTATATATATTTTACAAATAATATTTTATACAAATTCTGTATATATATGTGTATATATTTTATTAAAAGTTCTCTAAAAAGTCTATCCTTTTTGGATTTGCATCTTGTCACTGTCACGTTAACCCTCCGTACATTCTCTCTCTCTCTCTCTCTCTCTCTGGTTGCACGCCTTTGGTCTGTTCTTTTCAGTTGCACTACTAAACTAGTGCAATAAATTAAAATAAAATAAATATATTTTTTCTCACTCTAACTTATTACAATATCCAATAGGAAAATAGCTTTTCAACGGAGAATTAAATTTTCTATTAGAATCAGTCTCTTGACAGTCAATAATATAGAGTGAGAAAGCACTAAGGGCAAATCAACTTTGGCTGCGTTCGTTTTGGCGCTTATAGCGCGTGTAAGCATCATTTGTCCTTGTTTAGTATTTGATAGAAACAAGGATGAAATGATGCTCTTCGTTTCTTGGAGGAATTTAAGAAGATATTTAGTAAAGGTGAGGTTTTTGGAAAAGATCGCAGCCTCTAGATCTTGGAAATTTAGAATATTAATCTTCCGTATACACACTTATATTTTTAGGATATTGGAAAATTATTTTCAAGATTCTGGACGTGCTGCTGACGGAGTGGAGTGATACAATAGACATTGGGCGCATTCAGTAGAAAAAGCGCTCAGTGAGCAATCAACGATTATTGGTTCTTGCTATTAGATCCCTAAATCTAGACCAATTACATTGACAAATTACTCAACTGTTGTGCAACTGTTGAGTTGCTGAATGCAGCCATTGAGTGCTTTCCAGTTGCGTACACTGTGTTACCAGTTACCACTGTAAAACCAGTTTATTGGTTGCATATTATCTTACAAGATGTTTTAGATAATATGTGATCAATAAACTGGTTTTGTGTACGTGTGTGTCAAGATGTGTTAAGCAATTGGAAAGCACCCATTGTCATCCAGGAGACGATGCAGAACGAAATAAGCACACCTGATGTCATTTTCGAAAATACACCCTCTTCAAGCGCGAATGTTACTTTAAGGCTTGATTGCACCAACATTATTTTGGCTTTAAGCGAAACTTAAACATATATCTATCTTTATATCTTTTTCTCTCTATAAATAAAGGGACATATATATTTAAATATCACTTAAAACCAAAATAACGTTGGTGCAACCAGGCCTAAGAAACCCTAAAGAACTATCCCAGAAAGTGCTCTACATGCTAAGAGCCAACCCAGATAGCACAGAGAATTCAAAAAGAATTCAGTCGTATGTCACCAATTCTGAGTTCATTTTCAGATGTAAAAAGAATTCTTCAGAGTTCAGTTCGGTGAAAAGAATTCTTTTTGTATCTAAAAATAAACTCAGAATTGGTGACATACGACTGAATTCTTTTAGAATTTTCTGTGCTATCTAGGAATGCACAAGCACATCTGTAACATGTTACATTAAGTACTGACAATACAATGGCCATACCCTGTACGTAAATTTAAACTTAAGTCAATGCACAAAGAAATCCGTAAATTTAACATGTTATGTGCGGATGTTCTTGTACGGAGGCTCTTAATTGTGTGGAAGTACAACGGGCACGAACCAGGCTCATTTTATCGTTACCATCGCGCCTAAGGAACGTAGTAAAGGCGCACTTTGTTAGATGGCATTTCAAAAATGCGCCTAGCTCTGGTCATTGCACTGAAATATATATTACTTGGAACGCGCGCTATCTCTTGAGTGTTGCGGGATAAGAGAAAGTATACTTGTAGGTTTAGAACAGCTGTCTTTGTCTAATACAATCTGAACCAAAAGCTAAGTCAGCTGATCTTTAAACATAAGCTGAATCTCCGAATTAGGAACTATCTTTGCTTTTGCTTTGCTTTGCTTTGTTTTTCTTAATAATAAGTCGATAAGTGAATACTAATAAATTAGAAAAAAAATATATATATTTTTTATATCTTAAACTTTCGTTCATAAGCTTAAGTCATTGCCATTCAGTGTGGTCACTGCTTTTCATATTATCTCTAACTTTTAACTTGGATTGTATCACATTCTCCTCACTCTCGACTATACTATAAACCAAACAAGAATAAGAGAGAAAACAAGGAACCTCTCTCTCGCTCCGCAAGCTTCAAGAGGCAGTGCGCGTTCTAGAGTTGCGTTCCAAAACGTTCTTTTTTAGGAAATTTTACTCAATACTCTTTAGTATATGTAACGTGAACTATAGATATTGAGTAAAATTTTCCTCAAAAAGAACGTTTTGGAATCCCCAAGTAGTATATATTTCAGGGGACCATTGAAATCAAACTGGTGGCCGCTTTCATGCTTCTCCCTGGTATAATATCGATATTAGTTCTTCGATAGGCGAGGAATTACGCAGATGGCAGTGCGACGACCCAAGCAAACGATTGGCTGCTGCGTCCTCTGCTGCGTGGAGCCGTAACAATATTACGATTGGAACGCGATCTATAAACAGGAAACGTACAAACGTTTGGACGTAACTGGCCAGTGAATCACGTAATCCATGGTAGTGGGAGACACAACGATAGACGTTGTTGCTTAAACATTCGCTCGTCAGAATCAGTGCGTCCTTCGTCGTGTTCGCCTCGTTAGTCGTCCGCAGAGAAGAAAACTCGGTGAGTAATTGCGCAGTGTTAATTGTCGTTCTGCGTATTCGACAAATATAATACGAATACTGTGAATCTAATTATGACGTCCGGGTTTCATAAACGCCGATTGTTTTCTGAACTCAATAACATACATATATCTATTCGTTTTTATTCACACCTTCATACTTTCTGCGTTCTTGACGCCACACAAACTTGAAGCTCTCGTACGTTTTACCTCCGTTTTACCGTGTACAAGACGCGGTTCAAATAGCGAGTGATTCAGTGGACAGCCCGACGAATGAAGGCTGTCAGAAGTCACTCGGGTACAACAGTCAACAATGGCGGGACGAGTTTCTTTGTTTTGATTCTCGACATCTGACGCGCTCGGACTGCGCGATTGGCGATCGATCTTTCGTCATCTTTCGCTTTTTTTTGTTCGAAGTAAGCAACGTTTCTTTGTTTCTTATCGCTCGGATGTGCGTAGAAACGCGAGCTTTAACGTTCGATAGCCTGCTTCTTGTGAGATGACCTAGTTTGTCTTTGTTTCCCAACAATCGATGCGTAACGTCGGAACACGGACAGTTACGATTTAGGCCCGATTTCTTCAACCTCTTTCGGTAATCCAAATCTAACAATTAAATAGCAATACTCAAATCCGTTAACAATAATTGAATCTGTTAAGTCTATCTCTGTTTTTCCTCCAAATTAGACAAAGACAGATTTGTTTATCAATTTAACAAGAGTTTGGAAAAATCGACCCTTAACGTGAGCTTCGTGGCTGCTTGAAAAATTCAGAATCGCATCATTCGTTTGGAATATTCTCGTTTGAGATGTTATGACGAGAAGATTCGTATAATTTTGTGTGTCGGTAATGGCCGATTGACCTATCTTTTTTTTTCTTTTAAACGCATCGATCGTTGAGATGTATAAACTGTTATATTGAAGGTGAATTTATATATCTTATTAATGTATCGATATAATTTGTTTTTAGTCGATAGTTTTCTTTTAATTATTAAATTTTCTGTTATTCACCGTCAGTCGTGGTAGTTCTATTCAGTCCTTTAACGTCATAACGATCCATGACGTCGAAATTTATACAGAATGTCAGCGACGATTTCCACGGAACTGCGCGTTTCTTAGTGCGTTTAATGCGTCTTCATTCGTTAAGCTGCGATACTGTGTAAGATCTGCTTATTCTCGAAAAATATCGGGTACGATATTTCTATGAAAAGCTACAGTTTTTATGTATATTATAATTTTTCGTAAAAATATATGATATTTTTCGGAAATAAGGCAAATCTATTCTATAACTTTTAACGACAGTAAAAAGACTCTTATCATTATCGGCTTATTCATTATTCGAAATAAAAGGCGAACTATGCGAAATTACGGGGAATGTATTGATAACCGATCGTATTTGTGATCGCGATCATATTTGTGCAACGCGATCTCTCGCGATGCACACGTTTTTTACGCCGATGATCTGTTCTTTCCTACTAACTGCAGCTGCAACAAGTTGACCGTGAGAAAAAATGTATTTGTCTTATTCTAACTTCGCAGAAGTGCAGTTAAAAAGAACAGACCTCGAGAATGAGAAAGCAAACGCATATCTAATGCGCATTCTAGAGCAGATAAATAATTTGTTTGCCTTCGGTTAGTGTCTCTCGGTTTCTTGATACTTTATCAGCATTTGATATTCAAGCTTAGCTTCACCGACAACAGTTGCAGCTATTTCGAAGAAGCCGCCTTAAACTTTATAGATTAATAATAAATTTAACTATATTTAATAAATACTATATTTAATATAGAGACTATATTTAATAAAATAGACTGAACCTAACGGCGTCTTGAGCAATATCGTAGATTGCAAATACGACTGATTATAACATCGAGGTGGCAGATAAGAAATACGTCATTGTATTGTTATTTCGACTCTTGTTCTATTATAAAGCGCGTGTTATTTACTTCAATATCACACAAAGACTTTTGTGAAAGAAGCTTGAGAGCATATTATCTGACGAATCTGCAGATGATATCAACGCGGAAGTGAAATACTTCGAAAAAGACTCGACGTAACATATTTGATTTTTTTTATTTTTTATTTGACAATTTTTGCATCTACAGTGTGACTGAGAAAAGATACTTGAAAATTTATTTGTAAGATGTAGAATTCATTTTTTTGAAAAAGAAATATATTTCTAATTATATTAAAAAATTTATTTCTTTGAATAGACTTTTTGTGTCCCACGAGTCAATTTTCAAGTATTTTTCTGTCAGCGTGTCTTACAATATGCGGAATAAGTAAAAATTGGCTAATCATAATCGATTTTAAGAGTAATAATGAACCTGTGGAATGATTTTCGGTAATTTGGTTTCTCTTGAACGCCAGACAGTATTCACAAAACTGATAAACAAAGGAAAGAAGATAAGAGAATACGCCCCTGTGAGAATCGTATTTGACATTTCGCGGAACGTTACTAATGCGTGTGCACTCACACGTGAAGGCGTGCACACACAGAAATATTATTCTACACAATTGAGAAGAGCGATTACTCACCGTAATCGTAAGTTCCTCTCGGTTAGGTTTGTTCTCTTTTTTTTTTATGAGTGGTTGTATTTTTTTACGCGACTAGACTACGTTACACTTTTTGAAATAGAAAAAGTACATGTTTTAGAAGAGTAAATGTTCAAAAGATGAAAAGTCAGAAAGTATTTGGAAGCATCGAAAGATAAATATAGTAAGAAAGAATGACTGAAGCGTGAAGAAAACTGTTGTATACGTCACTTGCTGCAGCGTAGACAGTATAATTAGTTCATTCAGTAGTCGCTTATCTTTCGGAAGGCGTCAATATTACACAGATAGAGAGAGTAAATAACATTAACTGTTGTTGGTGCAATCTAGATTGTGTTTATCGTATTGGCACGGTGAGTGAGAGCTCCTTCACGCATAGCCACTCGTTATTAAGGAAATTAAGTTTTTCCTGGCACGAATGGCAACTCGTGTTGATTTGCGGTGTTACGTCCGACGTAACTTCTCTTCAGTTCGACCGAGTGCACCTTCTGTTATCATCAGGAATGCAATAAATGCCCTGGGTGGTCAAAAAACAATGGACTAATAATAAGGTATCAAAATTCCACTATTGATTATTACTCACATGTCGTGAGAAGCATCTTTCCCCTTCTACTAAAAGGTGGTGAGAATTCACGCGGGGATATCTCGCCACCTGCCTATAAAAACGGGTGCGACTGCCCATACATCTCTAGTGAGACAAGAAATCAGACGTGAGACAAGAAATCAGACTAGAGACAAGGAATCAGTCAATCAATCAGACAATCAATCAGTCAGTTTATAATTAATTAATTGAACTTATAAAATACAAACAATATACATAACAATTGGATCACTAAGATAAAACATTAAAAATCGTAAATAAGTTATTGGATAGATAAAGGTTTGTTTTCCTAACATATCCCCTGACCTAAGCGTCACGTTACACTTTACTCATATTCCCAAACCTTCACCAACCTCTTAAGTCCGATCCTAAGCTCTTCAGTCTCTCTGTAACTACAGTACGAGAAGGACTTCAAAATAATTTAAAATTTCTTAAAAGAAAGAATCAATACAACCACAATCAGTAAGTAAAATAATTATTTTGTACACACACATACGTTTACACATTTACTCACTCACAATCACACGAACTTGTCCATCCCAGGGTGGACTAAAGTGGTTAAATCCATTGTTCTTTGACCACCCAGGGCATTTATTGCATTCCTGGTGGTAACAGAAGGTGCACTCGGTCGAACTGAAGAGAAGTTACGTCGGACATAACAGCGGATACATTTGCGGTTAAAAATGACCGCCCGTGGTTCTGCTGATACAGCGTTTCCGACGAATGAACATTGGGTGAAATCTTGAGAATTTTCAAAAGCCAGAACAGTTCTGTTGAGGACAGAGACTTAATCGCGATTGCTGCTAACTTAGGAGAACCTCTATTTGTTAATGGTACACAAAAAATGTAACAACGATATGATATTATATTGTTAAATTAATCATGGAATTATTCTAACTTTTTTATCTCAGTAATTTAATGATTTAATTTAAAAATTTTTAATTAAATCATTAAATTACTCAGATGAAAATGTTGCGACGCATTGCCCGAGATGAAATTTAATTAGTATTTAATTAATTTGTACAAATCACACAATATCAACTGTCTCAGTGGAGTAATAAAATCGAAATTATTTATGTTTGCAGATTAATAAATCTACATAGAAGTAAGTAAGCTGCAACCATGAAGACTGCAATTGTCTTCTTGCTGGGGATACTCAGTGTAGCACAAGCTGTATCATTCTTTAATCTCGTGACGGAAGAGTGGAACACTTATAAGGTAATAAAAAACCATTATACTTGTATGTAATGGTCAAAGGTCATTTACATCATGCAGAAGTTTATTCGCTTGATATCACAGTCACTAGTTCCTATATATCACGATAATACTGACGCAGGCACAGTTGTTTATGACAGGGGTATCAGTTATAGATTATTTTAAAATTCTGCAGATCACGTTTCTCTTTGCAAATCAGTTTTTGTTACTCACTTTGACTACGACGAATTCAAGATGTAGTGAGAGACATTTTTACTGATAATTGAAAAATTATTGAAGAGAGAAGTTTTGAATGTATACGTTATCGTGTTTCAGATTACACACAAGAAAGTCTATGACTCCACCGTCGAGGAGAGCTTCAGAATGAAGATTTTCATGGAGAACTGGCACAAAATCGCCATTCATAACCGTCAGTACGAGTTGAAGAAAGTTCCCTACAAGCTGGGAATGAATAAGTACGGCGATATGGTAAGTTCTAAGAAGCGATTAATCAATTAGTCAGTCACGTGGCGAACAATTTTCTGTGAAGCACTCGTGTTTCGTTTGCAGTTGCATCACGAGTTCATCAACACTTTGAACGGCTTTAATAAGTCTGTAAGCGTTCAACTACGTGCTCAAAGGAAGCCAATAGCAAGCAAGTTCATCGAGCCCGCCAACGTCGAATTACCATCGTCGGTGGATTGGAGAGAAAACGGCGCTGTCACACCTATCAAGGATCAAGGGCACTGCGGATCCTGCTGGTCATTCTCTGCGGTAAGAACTACTTTTCTCCATTTTACGTACAGACAGACAGTGTACAATCCACCTTCCAATTCCATCTTCAATATTTTAATATTTCTATATTAATACACTTCTTTTAATTCATCTTTAGAAGTAACATCGATACTTCGATCTATCTTTAGAACATGCTTACAAAGCGCAACATAATGGCTCTTATCTTGAATTCTCTTTTTATTGATATATTAATTGTGCCTCTAAATGTGTTGAGTTGAAGACACTTTTATCGATAAAGAACGGTTCAGAATAAGGGTGAATGTGAAGTCGATGTAAAAAATATCTTGGAAATTTGAATTTTTATTTATTATAACATAAATAAGATTATGGCGATATTATTTCGATAATGTTATCCTAATATCTTTTTTCAATTTCATGTATTAATTTAGTCTTCAGTTTTATTGGTTTTCCTTGTTTGCGTGAGTAAATTGTTATTATGGATTTAATCTTTGCAGACTGGTGCCTTGGAAGGCCAACACTACAGGTCCACGGGTAAACTTGTATCTTTGAGCGAACAAAATCTGATCGATTGTTCGGGTCGATACGGCAATAACGGATGCAACGGTGGTCTAATGGATCAAGCCTTCCAGTACATCAAGGACAATCAAGGTCTTGACACTGAGATAAGCTATCCGTACCATGGAGATGATGAAAAATGCAAGTACGTGTTATCTGCTTTGTGTAACGCGTAACAAGAGAATATGTTGGTGCAGTCTGGTGATTTAATGATTCTCGAAATTTCAGATACAACCCTAAAAATAGCGGTGCGACCGACACCGGCTTCATGGACATTCCGGAAGGGAATGAGAAGAAGTTGAAAGCTGCAGTTGCCACTATCGGTCCGGTATCGGTCGCCATTGATGCGTCTGCCGAATCTTTCCAATTTTATCGCGAAGGTAAGTATTATTCGTTTGTAACTGATTAATTGTAACTGAGTTAAAAGAAATTAGATAAAGATCAAGGAATAAGTTAAATAAACGATTAACAAATTAATAAACTATAAAATTAACCAATATTGATGAGAGTTTGCTCCTCCAAGTAAATTCAGCTCGCTTAATCTCGCAAATTATAATTCAAGTTCTTGTTTATTTATCTTAAATCTTTCATCATTTTTAGGTGTATACTACGAACCTAAATGCTCTTCCGAGTCTCTGGACCATGGCGTGCTGGTCGTTGGTTACGGCACAGATGATAACGGTGACGATTATTGGTTGGTGAAGAACAGCTGGGGTATCACCTGGGGTCACAATGGTTACATCAAAATGGCGAGAAACAAAGAAAATCACTGTGGTATCGCGACCAGTGCCAGTTATCCTCTCGTTCGTTAATCGTTGAGGAGAAAAATTTTCGCACGTTTCAGATCTGCGAACGTGACAGTTCGAATGAAATTTCTAAACAAAATACACTCGGAAAAAGGACGATGAAAATTGTAAAGATTTTTATGCTCCCCATGGGTAGCAAATGACCGTTTATTATCTATTCATATTTCTCTTTTTGATTTAGGAACAATTGCGAGTATATAATATTTCAGTTATTATAATATTATAGTATCTCTTATGTTAAGCAACGCGACTTCTATTTTTAGAAACACTATATCGTAATAAAGAAATTATCTCTTGATAGTCATGTCAATATTTATCTATCTATTGAGCTTAAGTTATAAGTGGTAAGTTCGATATCTTTATCCTGATTGATAGAAGTGCGATGTTTTACAAAACAAACACCTAAGACATTCTACAAAAACATCTATAATATACTTTTAATATTTTTTTATATCTTTCACATTGAATCGAATAAACGTATACATCTAGACATGTATGCTGCCTACCTCTTTTAATTAAGCAAATAACTAATTAATTTCAGCTATATTTATTATATCAGATGTATTTAATTAGTTACATATAAATTAATGAAACACGTCAGTGTCAATGGTGATGTCCACAGTATTCAATATGTTTTTATACCGTTTCAATGTATTATAACGCAAAAACGCTACTGAGACAAAGATCGCTGGATTTTCATAAAGAAGCGGATCTGCGGATAAAGAGCCTTATCTGCGGATTATAATATGTCATGACAATTTGATAAATGGTCACACGATGAGTGATGATAAGTTTAATCTTATACGCTTTTCTCGTCTGATAATATCGTCAGTTATTACGTTGAACTTCCTTGTGTATGTTGACAGTATTCTTATTATATAAAACTTAGATAAATCCAGTGAATCACTGAAGTCAAAGATATTTTGTTTTTACATATCAAATGCTCGAATTTTTACTTATTTATTGTAATTAGCATATTTAACTTTAATTTAACTAACATGTTAACATTTATCTAAATTTTAATTAAAATAATGTGATTCTTTAATTAAAATAATGTGATTCTTTAATTAAAATAATGTAATTCTTCTGTTTTCGAATTTTCCAAAATGGGAAAAAAAGACTTATTGGCAGCCACATGTATCTTTAAATGTACATGCAGTGAGAAAATATGATCTAACATAAAGTCACTAATATTAAGGCTCCTGGGGAGTCGTATCATCCATCTCTTTTTAATGACGTCAGAAGCGAGAAAACGCATGCTAAAAATTCCTGCAAAATACGTCGAGATAAACAGATATATCCACAAAACGACATTTGCGATCGATTAAGTACACCTCTAAAATACTCCGTACACTTTCCTTTTGTTCTAACAATCAACAGATAATTATAAAATAAATGTGACGTGCAATCGTCTTTTCTAACCTAATTTCCTCATTATCTTGTCATATTAATTTTCCGATTATCTATTGATTTTTAGAACAAAAGGAAAGTGTACGGAGTATTTTAAAGGTGTACTTAATCGATCGCAAATGTCGTTTTGTGGATATATCTGTTTATCTCGACGTATTTTGCAGGAATTTTTAGCATGCGTTTTCTCGCTTCTGACGTCATTAAAAGGAGATGGATGATGCGACTCCCCAGGAGCCTTAATATTATGATGTTAAATGTCACAGGTAAAAGATCTTATTGTGTGAGATAGAATTTCAACACCGATATTTATCCGTTTTTTAAACAGAGCGCCAACCAAGTGCAATGGACATTTTAATTTGCATTTGAACGCCATCTGTTAAGAACCACAGCTTTTATGACAATCTCTGTCCAACTCATGATGGTAATCAGTTACCATCAGGAATTTGTAATCTATGATAGTAAATCTAACTTTTATCCACGCTGTATTTCTTCGTGAATTCTGGATTGTAGAACACAGGTTTTTGTATAAATTTTATAGCCTCACTTATGTATAAACAATTATCATATTATAGCATGTTATATTTGTCAACAGTCATATTCTGCATAACATGAAAGTCGTACTTGTAACTGGCGGTACTGGGCTGGTTGGCAAAGCCATTCAAAGTGTTATTGCCTATGATAAAAGAGAGGATGAAAGGTGGATATTTATTGGTTCTAAAGATGCGGATTTGTGGTGAGTTGACTTTATTAACGATCAATGATTGATATATAAGTTACAGATGCTTGTATTGTTTTAATCAAATTTCACTTTCATCACTTATTACAGCAATAAGGAGAGTACTCGCAAATTATTCAATGAACACAGACCGACACATGTTATCCATCTGGCAGCCATGGTGGGTGGACTTTTTCACAACATGTCTCACAATTTGGACTTTTTAGTGAGTATACATAATTAGTATGATTTAATTAGCTTTAGTTATGATTCTCATGTAAAATTTGATCTTTACAGCGAAATAATATACACATGAATGATAATGTTCTTCAAACTGCTCACGAACACAATGTTATAAAAGTTGTTTCATGCCTTTCAACTTGTATATTTCCAGACAAAACTACCTATCCTATAAATGAAACTATGGTAATGCACAACAGTATAATCGAATAAATTTATTGCTTTAAAATGAGTTTGGCTATAAAGACTGATTTATGTTTTAGGTCCACAATGGACCACCACATCCTTCAAATTATGGTTACAGCTACGCTAAACGACTTATTGATATTGCAAATAGAGGCTACCACGATCAGCACAACAGGTTGTACACCAGTGTGATTCCTTGTAATGTATTTGGTCCACACGACAACTTTCATCCCAGCTCAAGTCATGTTATACCTGGCTTGATGCGCAGGCTTTACGACTTGTGCAAAGATGGTAAAAAAACAAGTTTCATTGAGCATCTTGACACACAACATTCGACATTATTATTAACTCGGTTACTATACTTATTATTTTCTCATGAAATTTTTTCAGGAAACACTGAGGACAAGGTGTTCACTGTGCTGGGATCTGGCAAGCCTTTGAGGCAATTCATCTATAGTATAGACTTGGCAAAATTAATAATCTGGGTGCTCCGCGAATACAATTCTGTGGAACCAATCATATTATCAGGTAAACGTGCGTGATCACATAAGACAGACCAGGATAATTGTAAATGACTTTTCAGTGTCTGTTCACGATGATATAGATAACTAATTACAATTTACCTTTTATTGATTTTATAAATTGCGGCTGGCAAACATGTTGCTAAAGAGAATCATGTTTTAGTGGACGAGGAGCAGGAAACGTCCATATCGCAGATGGCGGAGTCTCTGGTGCGAGCTTTTGACTTCAAAGGCAAAGTAGTATACGATACGTCGGCGGCGGACGGCCAGTACAAGAAGACTGCGAGTAACGCGAAATTACGAAAGTACTTACCGGACTTTCAGTTCACGCCCTTCGCCCAAGCGATCAAAGAGACCGTCGATTGGTACATAGAAAATTACGATCGAGCGAGAAATTAGAGCGGCGGAAATCAGATATGTCGATGCAAATGTTACCTGTTAGAATTGGCTGGATACGGTATTCGGAAGACACGACGTGTAAGTATTAATCGCATCTTATCGCATTGTAAAAGATTATATTTTTTGGAATAAACAATCTGTGCAGTACGTGTGTTCCTTACTATCGAGAGACTGCGGGGCGTGGATCAGCGCAAATGCGCCAGCGTGAAGGCAAGCGACCTTTAACTGGCTCGAGATCCGTAAATCCAGAATAACGGGGTGTGAAGAGTATTTCCAGTCTGTCAAATAAACATTCGCGGTACGCGGATATTTTTATTGATCGGGAAATTTAAGTCTCTATTGAACGCGCGCCAAAGATAGATCCGGCCCGAGCACCTGCCGTTTCATTTATTTTTGCTCAATCCGCGGCACTCCTGAGGAGTGTATTTTAGGTCAGTTCGTGCGCGAAGCCCAACCAGTGGATCACTCTAGACTTTGCATCGACTGTCATGTCGGCGGAGAAGCGGGCGCGCGCCCGTCACAGTCGCGAGAAGTCACTGTGGATTAATCAAGAGCAGTGAGTTAAAAATCCTTTGCCCTGATTCGCATCTTGCAACAGAACTCGAACTGAAAACGCGATTGAGGGATACATTTGCGTGTTGAGCCTCAACCTCGGCGATTTTTCGCCCTTTTGTAAATTATAAAGTTGGGCAACGCAAATAGGGAGGAAAATTTTAATTAGTCGACGTCAGCGCAAGCAGCCCGTGGAATCCCGGCAACAATAAACCGGCGGAGAACGTCGGGAAAAAAAAAATATCAGTTGGACGAAAAAAAAGAAGAAGAAGAAACAGTCACGACAATCTCCAACGGCGGTGGCCGACGGCGACCGATTTGGCCCGAAGATAACCACGTGTGGCTCTTATCGGGATCGCCGCCGAACGACGATACGAGATCGACTTTTCAGTGGTTGCCTCATTTTCCTCGGAGAAATAAATTACGTCCTCCTCACTCCCCAAGTCGCGCTCTACGTATCGTCGTTCTTCCGCCAGGCCTCTCTCCGAGCCATCCTCTCCGTGGGAGAGAGAACGAATCGACTTTGAGCAAACGTAATTAACTATCTTATGTGGAACGTATAAGCGGAAATTCGCAGCCGTATGCTTTAATTAAATTGCAGTTCACTTTTATTTTCTTTCTTTTTTTTTCAGAGAAAATTCGATGAAGCGTTATTTTGCCATGACTCGTTAATCCTCAATATTGCCGGTCGTCGCCGGCGAAATTAAAATTCCACGGAAGTGAATTACGTTTGAAATCAAATGAAAAACTACGTACTTTGTTTCACCTCTATATTTGCATCGCTGAAACTTTATAACATAAAAAACAGAAACACGTTTTTTTATTAAAAATATATTTATTTTGATATGTAAATTTTAAAATTGAGATTACATCGTTATAAATTACTTGTGTCAACACTTGATTCAAAAAGAAATATATTTTCATGGATGGAAAGCTCAAAATATTGGGTTGAAAATGTGTCTTTTTAAAGAAAAGATAAAGATCAGAAGAATTGTCAACAAGATAAAATTATATTGCACTTCTTGTGAGATTATTGCAATACCCAAATAAAATTGTAATATTTCAACATTGTTGAAATTCTTCGATCGAAATATTATATTTGTTTAATTTACGTTGCTTATATATGAAATGATAATTGTTAATTGGAATATATTAGTTTTAAGTGGATATTAATTTTTTTCTGTATACATTCTGTACGTTCTATTGCACGAGACTTGTGTTCATTTTACTTAATTTATTTTTATTTGTTACAATTCGTCTATGTATCATTAAATAATATTAATTATATAATCACAAGGGAGCTATATATACATATATACATATACATTATATATATATATATATATATATATATATATAGGGAGAGAGAGAGAGAGAGAGAGAGAGAGAGAGAGA